AGCTATTATAGCAATGCAATTTACTGAAACTGTTCATCCACCTGGTGGTGCAACTGCTCTACTTGCTGTCACTACTCGACCTCTTTTACCTTGGGCAAATTTTCTATTTATTTTAATGCCTGCTCTTACTGGTTCTTGTACAATGTTATTGATTGCATTGATTATTAATAATATAGCACCTAAACGAACTTATCCTACTTTTTGGTGGTAATTAAACATATATTTTTTAACAACACAATTTATATATATATCATTTGATATTTGTACGCATATTGTACACAATAAATTATTTTATTATAACGATTGATGTATTTATAATATAGAAGATGATTTTTCGGCGTTTGATATTCACAAATGTGAATATATAGAGAAATTTTATTGACGATTCACTTGATAAAAATCTTATTAAGAAAAATATGCAGTGTAATCTGTTTGTCGTCAATGCAAACTCGCGACATAATTCATAAACCAAATATGTACTAGTGTTTATAGAGAGAGAGGTCTATAAAAAGACATCTGATTGGTTTTTAACAAAAGTAACAGTTAACAAATAAAAAAAAGGTTCTCATTGTCATCTATCTATACTTTTTCCTTACAAAATATTTCCTAGTCTTATAAATACTTTATTTTATACCTTTTTCAATGATTATTTTTTTTTCTAATTAATTTAAAAAATTTTTAATAGAAATGAAATTTTTTTTTTAAAAGACTCTTATATTTATAATAACTTCATGCATAAATAAGCGTTAGATTATGTAACGTTCAAAGAGAAAAGAAAAGTTTCATATATATATATATAAACTGAATGCCTAATCATTTTTTTTGTGTGTCTCTGTCTGTTATTTTACTCGATAAAATCAAATGAGTTATTCAATCGAAATGAAAGTTATATGATTTTATTTATCTAATAGATGGAATTAAGAAAACGATCTTTAACAAAAGACTTTACAAATAATAATTATAAATATAAATTAAAAAAACAAAAAAATGGTAAATAAAAATATATTTTTATCATTTATGTATCTATATATATAAAATTAATTTAGATAATTCAAAAAGACAAAATCATATAGAAGATCTTTCAGGTGAAATTTGGTTTGAATTATTTGCTTATTTTGATGGTCAATCATTAATTAATGTATTTTCTCAATTAAATTCTTATATAACATCATTATTAAGTGATTATCGTCTTCCAATTCATCTCAATATATTATGTTCAAATTTTCAAATTCCATCTCTATTCAATACAAATCAAATTGTATCACTGACTATAGATTATTCTTATATAAATGATGATAATCAAAAAATTTATATAAATTCATTTGTACGTCTTCGTTCACTTTGTTTAATATATATTAATGATGAACAATTAGAAAAAGTAAGTCAATTTCCATTGAATAATCTTTGTCAGATATCAATTCGAGCAAAATGTGCAAGATTTATAACAAAAATAATATCGATTTATTTTCCTAATGTTAATCGAATGATTCTTAATTCAATGGAAAAAGAATTTCTTGTTAAATCATTTCAACATGATAAAACAAAAAATCGAATTGAAAAATTAACATTAAATGGTCGAATTAAATTAGCGAAACTTTTTCGTCTTTGGTCTTTTGTAAGAAATAATATTATTTAAAAAAAAAGAAAAATATTTTGTTTTTAAATATTCAAGGTTCCTAATCTACGTTCTCTTTCACTTATTAATGGTGGAGTTCATCAATGTGATTATTGGATGGATGAAAATATAATTTCACATAAGAGTTTTCCTCCAAATTTATCATTTATGCATATAAATATATGTGATGATGATATGAGTTTCTCAAATTTAGAACGTTTAATACCAAAAACTGTTCGTTATTTAATTCTAAGTGGTTCAATGGCTGATGATGATTTAAATGATTATTTATCATCAACAAATTGGATTCGATTAATATCAAATTGTTCAAATAAACTTAATTATATCAAACTTAATATTTCATCTTATTATGATCCAAGTGATTCAGTTGGATTAAGAAAATTATTATTAGGTTTTCGAAATAATTCATTTTTTCATAATACAATTATTAAAAGTCAAAACTTTTTTATAACCATCAACGGATATATTAAACCCGATCTTAATCAATGAAATTCTGTAATTCGTTATGTTTTTTTTTAAATATCTTTTTCTGTTTTGTACGAAGAAAAGTCAGATGAAAAACAATCTATATATCTATATATATATATATTTATTCTACTTGTTTTTATGACAGTATGAAATGATTTATACTTTTCTAGATAATGGATCAAAATCCGCCTATGGATACTTCATCATTACCTGATCAATCCCAATCAGAACAAAATGATTCAATTAGAATAAATAAAAATCGAAAACGTAAAGGTATTAATAATAATAATAATAATGAATCATCAACAATAAATAAACGTACAAAATTATTTGATATGGTTTTTTATGATGGTAATCGTCATCCAGCAGCTGTTCTTCATGAACTTCGTCCTGATATTTCATCAGAAAAATTTTCTTTTGAATTAGAAGAAATATCTCCAAAACAATCACGTTTTCGTTGTACATTAACAATTGATCAAAATGTACCAGAAACAATTATTTCCATTGGAATTGGTCGATCAAAACAATTAGCAAAAAATATGGCTGCACAGGTTAGATATTAACTTACAAAAGAAAAAATATACGGAATCTTTTTGTATACAAAATTGAATAGTTGTTTTGTAAAGATTTTGTATTTGTAGCAAGCTTTAATAAAATTATATCCAACATATCGTCCACCAGAAAGTGAAATTTTAACTGAAGATTATGATATGTATCATCAAACACGATTTATTACAACACTTCCTCCTTCATTACAAAATGATCCAACAATATTAATTGATTCGATTCGAAAACATTTAACAGTGAAATCAATTGCAATTAAAACTCCATTACAATTATTTAATGAACTTTTTGTTAATAATCAACGTTTAAATTCATCAACATTAACAAAAAATCGTATTGAATTAATAGAAAATGAAGAAAATCTTGTTCTTGTACGTGTTACAGCTATGGATCAACAATTTTGGAGTGTTAGTGCAGCGAAAAATGTTGCTCAAAATGATGCATGTCAAAAAGCTATTGAAACAATATGTAATGTTTCTTTTCGTGATGCTAAAGGTATTCAAATAAAAATTAATTAAAAATAGAATCAAATTTATACTTGTTTTTTTCTATTTTAGATGAATTTATTCGTGCTCTCAATTCAATGAACAAAATAAAATTACCATCAGAAATTCTTACAGATAATAATAATAATACTGAATCTGTTGAAGAAGAACATATTACAGCCGAATCAATATCTATTCCAGGTCTCTCATCTTCATTTTTACAACCAAACGAAGAAATTTAATTCTTTTGTTATATAAACAAAAGTACAATTATGACCGAACTAATTTTGTTCTATAGATGTTATTTATTTATATATGTGTTATGTATTGTTTTTTTTCAAAACTTTTGAAATTTATTAAATCTCTAATTTAATTGTGCATTAACAAAACAAAGTACTAAGTGTGTTAGTTGATATAGTTTGAAATATTGTTGCACATACTAATATATTTTGTAGATCAATATAATTAACAATAATACATTCAATTAAATATATTACAAAAAAAAGGATAATGAAATTTTTAAATCAACTATTATCTATTAAATATTTTCTTTTTATGTTTGACTATTAATTATCAATTTATAATTAGTCATTATCATTTGCCTAGATCTGACATTCACGCTTATTATTAAATAAGTGTTACAAATTTGATTGCTTCTCTTGTAAACGTGATTGACTTTAAAAATGTTCTATCAAAGACATTGAAATAGTATTTTGATAATAAACAATTATTTGATTGACTTCTTGAAAAATAAATCAAAGATCTTATTTTCTGGCACCTGTTTAGTAATTAAATGCTTATTTGAGTGTACAGTCAGTTCGTAGTCTTGTTGAAATCTACAAAAAGTCAAAATATGGGGTTGAATGGTACATGAAAGTTGAATATAGTTTTTTATAAACTATTTTGCCAGTTTTGTCTTTTTGGGTTAGGTTCAACTAACACTTGACAGCCATATTTTTGCATACAACAAGGTTATTCCATAATACTAACCATGGAAAACTCTGTTAATATGTAAATACTTTAATCGATTGTGTCAACCCAATTCCATCGAAAGTTTTCTTCGGACTAACATTCTGCGATAGAACCACGCGAACGATCCAATAATAATTAACTATGAATGTTCTTTTCTCGTTTTTGAAGAGATGAATAAAACATTATACTTGAATGTAACAGTTTATTCCACATTTTAATGAAAATAATTATATATACATATGATATCAGTTTAGAAATAACTTTACAACGTTAAGAACAAAATAGATCAAATTTTAAATATTATCTAAGCCATAAACTATAATGGAGATAAAGACAATTATATCAGTTTAGTACAAAGGCAAAAAATCAAATTTTTATTAGAGTTATAAATTGCAGTTGTGTTAAGATGAGTAATACAGCTGAAGTAGAAACGCAAAAAAGATAATACCAAGTTGGAAGACATTATTTTGACAGCCCATGCCGATGTTGTATTCATGAGGGTGTGGGTGTGGGCGTAAGGTTGATACATCGTTCACACCTACCGGCACCCACACCCTTGATTATCATCTCTGAGAAAGTGCATGTGGGTGTAAATAGCGAGGAATAAAATAGTTATATATACATCCTCATTTACTTCACGTTGTCAAGAACTTTAGAACTCATGAGATTTTGCTAGGCTTTATCTTCACACAACGAAAGAAAATCAAAAATGAATAAAATAAGGCTACATAGTCTACTATGACGAATTCTATAATTATTTAATATTATTATAATTTAAACAGAAATTATCTAAAAATAATCGCATTAGCGGAAGTCTCGACGAGAGATTGGATGAGACTGAATCGGACCGTTTCCAGTACTAGCTCTATCACTGATTACAACTTGTTTGATTGGTATGGAAAGTGATCTGTTTCAGTGAAATCAACATGTAACCGTACAAACATGTTGCCATCACGCACATAATTTGAGTCAGTTTCGGCTAATTTCTCAGCTGAACAGAATCGAGATATTTGATACGGCATATTTGCTGTGCTCAAAGGTCTATTGAATATTTCCGCTTGAGAACCGGGTTGAATTGAATGAAATATGTGATTGGATCCACCTGATAAGTCAACTAGGCTTATTGTAATTGGATAGGAAAAGGGCCAATACAGAATGGCATCATAATCCCCACGACAAATCATGAAGGAAACATGTACATAACGATGGTTGACTTGTTCATCTGTTTCCATAGCGACACTAATACCAATATTGTATCCACACTTTGAAGAGTGAACCGAACCGGAATGCATCGCTGCTGAATTATTATTCAATAAAAGTAAAACATTAATTTTCAAAGTATATGTGTCATTATCGTCTAGTATCGTAGGATTCATAGAACATTTCTCCCGAATTTCACTGATTAGTTTATTCATTTCGTTGAACATTTGCTGAATGGTTTCTAAAAATTTCACCGTGTTTAATGATGATTCACTGAGTGTCCGTAATTGTTCACGGGCTTCCATAGCTCTTGTTTCCATTATTTGTCGCTTTGCATTGAGTTCAATACAATCATGCTCCACCGGAGAGATCTCTTGAATCACAGATTCAATCCTTTTCTGACACTCCACTATAAAATATTGATATTGTTCATTGACATTATTCTGACAAGTTAAGTTCAGACTGTCATCGTGTTGATTAAGACCATTTTGTTCTATCCATGAGAGAATAGACTGCTGATGTTCAGCCAATAAATAATGGTTTGCTATATCTGTGTATGGAATCTATTAACAAATATAAATGATATATAAAAGATTGCTTAATTTTCGACTGGAGATCAGTAATAAACTTCAAGAAACTCGGTGTAACCTGTAAAAATCAATCGACTTCAAAAGATGAGAATCGTGGATATGGATAAGGGTGTACATGAATAACAAATATCTACACCTACATCCGCTCACTCAGACCTACACTGATCTACATAGATCAATTTCATTTTTATTACTTACTTCTCTAGTGCATCCGAGATTCGCTAGCGGACAAGAGACAGTACGATGAGAACATCTGTGACGTTTATGGGATTCTAACTGAATTTGAGTAACAAATTCGTTATTGCACTTCTCGCATTTGAACGCATAGTGAATGCGAAGATGTTCCTAACAAATATTGATTGTTTAGAAGGAAAAACTTCTCAATAATTAAATTTACTCGCAACTCTTTAAATAAGCCAATCCACGAACAACCATATTCAGGACAAGTTACTTCATGATTTTCAGAGTCGCGTAAGCGTCCTCGATCAAGTCTAGCCTAAATATACTTTGTGTTATTATATACAACTAAATACAAGTATTCTTTTAATCATACATTAGGCCGCAAACTGTAACAAGATGGACATTCTAACTCGGTATCTCTAAAAAATGTATAACTATATTAAATTTATTGTAATAATGAATAGATTAGTAATACTTGATCATAGTGATGCAATCCTCACAAATTCGTTGCCCGCAGCAATCAAGTTGCATGGGTGGATGCAATGGCCACTGGCATCGACGGCATAATAGCTCCTTTGATTGATATTCTGTCCATTTGTTGGCTTGTTGCTTATCGACCACATCTGACATTCGGCGACTTGAATATGAAAAAAATAAAGAAATTTTTCTATTTATAGTCACCTTTTACAAAAAACTTTCCAAATTTCCAACTTCGATAAAGAAAAAGCCTTACAATGAAGTGGTGCACTTGAGAAGCCGCCCTTCACTTCAATGGGGAAGGTAAATAAAAGAAATCCCTGAAAACAAAGTGTGTCTGGCTGTGAGTATTGGTGGAGGTTAGGGTGTGAATGTGGGTGCGGGTGTGGGGTGGGTGGACGTGGGTGTCGGTGTTAGCACGTAGAGGACAGAATCATATCCTCACCCACAAACCCTTTTCGAATTTCGATAAATTTGTTGACACAATTTAACGGTTAGATAAGATTTATGATTATTTAATCAAATGTAATAAAATCAACTGCAATCATAAATGTTTCATAGTTAAGATAAAAAATTGCAACAGTATTATTTTTATTGCACCATTCATTATGAAATGATACGCGAGAAATTTGAACTTCCTGAAAACTGGAATTTACCATAAACTCAGAAAAAGCTTTTGCAGTTCACATACATATATGAAACTTAGAAATCATAGTTTTTGCATGTCATAGAGAATTAGAAAAATAAATCAAATGATTGACTTATGCATAAAGGATTCTGCATAACAAGATTGCAAATTTAATACAAGCCTTGCGAAAGCGCTATGTAGCCTTTGCATTACATTTGCCCTCTCTATCTTTTAACTGGTTGTCAATTACTATGATGCGTGCGTCTCACTTCCGAAAGAAAAAGAAGCAAGGTGGACCTTATCCCACTACTATTTACTATATAAAATAGATAAGAACGAATACTTTTTTATCGTTTTAAAATTTTCAACTTAATCTTAAGAAAGATTAACGAGATGAAATAAGAAAAATGCTGATATTCAAACACCTGAAGGCTTTAAAAAAATAAAAAACAGAAGAAGTTCGTGTTATTTAGTTGAACTCAAACAAAGAAGAATATGTAATACTAATATAGATAAAGTACTCAGAAATATTTATGATTCTATAGGATATATACTTGATGTTCATAAATTTATTTTACAGTTCTCAGATTACTCTTTACAAAATTTACTGATAGAAGACATTCATATTGAATCACTTCATTTTTCGATATTTAAAATCGATAATATTTTTTTTCAAATGAAACTTACTTCACAGTTATTTATGTATAATAATTCGTCTTGAATCTGAAATACAAAATTACTACTATGAAGTAAGAGAGAAGAATATGAATGTTTCACTTTTTTCCCATTACATTAATATAGTGCGTCAGTATGCTCTTGTTTTTATTTTTTCTCATTGCCTGTCGTCTATTATTCAGTAGGTATAGTCGGGAAATTTCCAACTTAGATGTAAATATCGGGAAAAATCCCACCATTATAAAAACATACATGACTCAGTATGGTTTCTGCATGGGGTATTGTTTAAAATATTTTAGGCATTTATCATAATCCTCAGAAATCATACTATCTATACAATTTTATTTATATATTGCGAATCTATGCAATAACGAATAGTATGACGTGTCTTTTGTTCAAATCTATACTGCAAACGGTGTGGATTATATGTATCATAAAATGAATTATTATTGAAAGTATTAACAATGATCAAGTAGAATGATGTAATAGATTAATGTCAATTTAAAAAAGGAAGTAGACTTACATCTGTTTGGTTCTCAACGCATCGTATTTATATATAAGAACAGAATAATCATCAAATCTTTTGATTTGCTTTTATGGTTATTTATAACTTGGAAAATTCCAAGTATTTTTCTTTCACCTTGAATTTTGTCTTCAGATTACATTTTTTTTCTTCATAACATTATTAACACTAACCTTACAAATGAAAATTTATCTTTACCTAAAAGTCAAATATTGTTATTATCAAGATAAAATGAAGTATTTAATTTTGATAATCTTTTTGTCAAGGATATAATCAAATGTATCGAACAAATCATTTATAAGACATTATATATATAGGTAACAAGACAGTTAGAAATATAACAAATTCAATTTATTATTTTATTATGTTTCTATTATAATTAACGTTTCAATCTTAATATTTCCTCATTTCCTAAATATCATCAATTACAACGAAATATCACTTTATTGATATATCATTATAGTTGATATTTTAATATCGTAAAATAGTTCTTGTTTCAATCAGCATGGATCACATCAAGTCAAGGTGATAGTACTATAAATAACAAAATAATATTATGTCTTTACAGAGAGAAATCAAGAGTAAATATATACTTAGTCAATAACAGAATACTTTTTAGAGATTTGAAGAGAACAGCAAAAAAAAGAGATTGGTTATGTATACCTTGTTATGGTACTGTCAAAAACGACATTGGTGTGGGTGTTAAGTGTAGGTGTGAATATGTGTGTGGTACGAATAGGACAGAGCCACACCCAAACCCTCACCCACACCCACACCCTCAAGACGTGACCGACCGAACATCAAAGGCGGCGAACGACATAGTAGTATAGGCCGTCACTAGAGCCCATCGGGTCCACGTTTTTTTGGACCCGGACCCGACCCGGACCCGTTCAAAAAAATTTCGGTAGACCCGGACCCGGACCCGATGCCCGGTCCGGGTCCGCGTTGGACCCGATTTCGACGAGCACTAGTCTGAACTCGAACTGTAACTTTAAAAAAATTTTTAGTCTTAACTATCCAAAAACCAAAACTAAGTAGCAAAAAAAAAGGTCTTTGATTTAGTTTTCTAAAAACCTATTAACCAGTTTTCAAATCCAAAATGGCATTCTCATGTTCACCGAGCAGTATAAAAATATCATGTCGATACTATATTTCTTTTTATCCGGACCCGGTCATAAAAAGCTTCGAGACCCGGACCCGGACCCGGACCCGGTAAAAACAAATTTTTAAGACCCGGACCCGACCCGGACCCGATGGGCTCTAGCCGTCACAGACGTGACCGATACAACATCACAGACATGACCGACATATGTTCTTTTGACCTCGTTACCGACAGAACCAGGGTTCCGAATGGTAAGTGTACACAGCAGAAGAAAAATGGGTGAAACACTTGCGACTTTTGAAATACACGCTGTTTTACACGTTGCTGGCGAAAACAAAATGTACACGGTACACTGCGACATAGATGCGTGAATACAGATACAACTTGTATCGATATTTTTCCCTACTACAATCACGACATACATCTCCTAACATGTATCGATATATCGATACATCCCCACACGTATTCACACATGTATTGATACATGTACCCATATATGTACCCCAGAAAACCTAGAATTTCAGAATTTCATGTATCGAGACATCAGTACATGTATCGAGAGATGAATACATGTATCGACACATTAGTACATGTATCGAGACATGAATACATGTATCGACAGTTGTACTGATGTATTGATACATGTACTCAGGTATTAATACATGTATCCATGTATCGATACATGAAATATTGAAATTCTACGTTTTTTCGGGGTATATATATGGGTATATGTATCGATACATGTATCGATGTATCAATACATGAAATTCTGGTTGTTTTAGGTATATACATGTCGATACATGTATCCATGTATTAATATATGAATACATTGATTGATACATTGATATATGTATTAATACATATACTGATAAAACAGTACACGTAAATGTATACCTGTTCAGATCTACATGTATAAAATGTGGATACAAGTTGTATCTGTATCCACGCACCCCTCTAATACTGACGAGTAATAAAATAAATATTCCTATTCATGTCAGATTGCATCATTGTGGGCGTATTAATTGTGTATTTACTATTATTCAGTATGCATTTGTTTTACATTCTTCATTAGCAAAAAATATGAACACTTTCTAGATGTCAAGATTATAATTAAATTCAATTTATACACTTTGATACACTCTGCTTTCAAAAACATAATGTACAGAAACATTTTTCTTCTAAATTCTATTCGGAACCCTGGACAGAACCAATAGGGTACCATAGGCCTGTTACGGTCATATCAGAGCCATAAAAAGGACATCAGCGAAAGAATACAATAGAAAGACAAAATGGGGGAAAAGATGACCTTCGCGAGACTCGAATCACCACTTTCTGCTATCCGGGTAGACGTTTCGAGACAATTAGACTAGGAGAACCAACTTAATCTCTAGTTTAGGGTTTAGTGATTCATCACAGACCCTAACAAGGCCTTCATATAGATAATTAACGTAGCATCACGAACCGTGAATGGCAGATGTTCTCTTGACTTTATCACAGACTGTAACTGTCATAGATATGAACATTGCGTTGGAGAATAAAATGAAACTATTGAACTCATACTATTTAGGAAAGGTAGATATGTGAGTAGTTTTTTATATTAATCGATTTTTCTAAATTTTGTATCAACTGTTAAAATAATAATCAAATGATTTCAACATATGAAATTATTTCTTTTTGATATTTCTATACCTTTATGCTACAGAATAAGATAAAAGTCGCTTCACAATGACACAATTAAACTATCCTCTTGAAGGTAGAAGCACAGTTAGATCGTGTTTCACATTTTTAATCCCGTTAGGGATTGCGCTAACAGCTTTTTTATAAAATAAAGAATAAAGAAAATATTCTCAAGTAATTAGTAAATAGATAAATAATTGATATAATAATAGATAATATTGATCGCAGTTTTGTCCTATCACCAGCCACATTCTTATATTGGATAATACTAGCAAATGATTATGAGGTATAAACTATTTATGGAAAAAACTTCTTTTTAAAATCTTTTTAGTCTATATGTCTTTATAGTATTTAGCAATCTACCTGAAAAGGATAAAATTTTACATTTTTAAGAAAAAGAAAATTTCTTTATCTTTATTGTTTATAAAATAAAGATCAAGTAAATCTTTACTTTTATTGAGGGTGTCGATGTGGGTAATGACAAGATGAATCCACATCCTTAAGATGCATCAGAATCACTTCGGTCGATTGTTATTATCCAAAGATAAGATATTCACACTTTTCCTTCATTAAATATATAAAATTCATATCTGTTTAAATCAAAATCAATGAAATTCGTACTAGTAATGGATCTAAATAATATGTATCTATGACAAAATTTTCAGAGAATTTGCAATGATTATTGATGAGATATGGTCTCATAATGTAAAAAAATGAAATTCCGTGACACTTGGCCATGCTTAATAGTTATGATTTTTGGTAGGTAACTATGCTTTTACATTGACTCATCCGTCTATTCTGTACTGTGACTATATGCACAGAAATCAGTTAGATTTTCATTCAAGTGGTGTTTTTTTACCTTCAGTTTTCGTTTTTCGTTGTGTTCCGCATCGTTATTCTTCCGACCTATCT